GTAAACTCCAAATCCTGAGGGTAGAATGTGGTAGGATGCTGGGGGGAGCTAGATGGGTCTGCAAATGAAACCAAACACATGACTTCCATGGCACTATAAGAGATTTAGATTTAAGTTTCAATAACAAAAACCATTTGAGGATTTTTAAACTTTAAAGAATGCATGTGTAAATGGATGTACTTTGAAACTAATACTCTTAAGTGAAATAAATTGAACACACATATGTAAATATCACATTGTCTTTCTGGTGTAAGAAACTGAAAGTGTAAATGTATAATAGATATTATGAAATAGGAAAAAATTGTTCAAAATTATGCCAAGTATAAAGATACTTTATTAAAAATTAAAATGTTTTATGCACAAAAGTTACAGTATTATTAGGAAATGCATTGAGATAGATTAGCAAATGAAAATATCATATTTTTAATATCATGATACACAGTGTATTTACCATTGTTATTCTCTAATTATTTTTGTTATGAAAAATTATCTTTTCTTAGAACAGCTTTTATATTTTTTTATTAATATCTAGTTATATTATGTTAAAATAAAAAATAAAAAATAAAGTCCTAATAGGTTTTCAAGATACATGTTAGGATGCAGATATACTCTTTTTAAGGACCAGAGAGAACTCTCCAAAGAAAAGTCATAGAGGCCACAAGGTCAGGGAGAAGAATTTATTTGAAGGAAGTAGGAGGAGGGCCGAGTCCCCCTTTGGGAAGGGTCAATCCAGACAGGAGCTCAGAAGTGCCCTAGTGTTTGTCCCTCAGGGCAGGGAGAACCAGTGGGAGCTGCAGGTACAGATGTGAGGGGTGGGCACTGGTGATTGTGGATGAAGAGAGGAAATCCAATATTAGTTATGAAAGCCAAATTAAGGATTGTTATCAAAACAGATTGCATAATCTGTGCAAGCCATAGTGATGCCATTTTGTCTAAATTATCAAGTTTTGGGGCTTTGTGTACAGTATTTTATATAGCTGTGTTCCCTGTGGTTCTCTTATCTTCTATTCTCTTCTCCTCTCCTCTTCTGCTCCTATTCTCATCTGCCTCCATTTTTTTTTTAAGTTTTAAAATATTAAGGAAAACTTTTAGATTCAAATTGTAATTTCTCCTGCATCCACTAGATGGAAGTAAAGTATATGATTTTATTTTTCCATGCAGCAGCAAAATATTTTGAATAAAAACATCTGCTTAAATTCAATATGAGTTAACTGGTTATAAAAGTGAGAGGTATTTATTTTATATTCTAGAAATATTAAAAGTCAAAAAAGAGAGGCTGAAATAAGAGTGTCTACATTGCATCCACAAGTAACTACTCTCATTCCATGCAATTTAGATTCATGCATAGATGTGTTTTGTGCTCATAGGGAATCAAGACAACACTGTTTAGCTTACTGACTTATTTCATGTACCATTATGTCATAAGCATTTTTATATATTTTTATTTTAACTTCCATATACTAATTGTATATATTTATGCAATACAGTGTGATAATTTGATATATGAATATAGTGTATAAACAATCAAATCAGGATAATTAGCATTTCTATCTCCTTAAACATTTATTATTGTTTTATGCTGAAAATGGGCAAGGTCTTCTCTTCTAGTTCTTTATAAAATATGTAATAAATCGTTTATAATTCTCTCAATTTTTAAATTTTAATTTAAAATTATGATTGTGCATTATTTATGCATCTTTATCTCCACCTATTAGTATAGACAAAGCTATTATAAATCAGCCAAAATAAATAGACAGGCACATAAATATTTTCCCACATCTGTGGTCCTTTGAAAGATGTATTCATAGAATTTTATTCATGGTCAAAAGGAATGGACATTTTTAGCTAGGTATGGTGGCACACCCCTGTAATCCCAGTACTTTGGGTGGTAGGGGGAGGAT